GGTGTCCCTCAAGTGTCCGTTTTAGGGCCGCTACTGTTTTTAGTTTACATTAATGATATTTCTGATGGCATTACTTCTCGAATACGTTTATTCGCTGACGACTCAGTTGTGTACATAAAAATAAAAAATGAACAGGATCGCATTGAATTGCTGGCTGACCTTACCCGAATTGTGCAATGGTGTGATAAGTAGAAAATGCAACTTAATGTGAAAAAATGTGTGCACGTGTCTTTTACTAAAAAAAGAAAAAGGATGAAGCGCGTTACTTTTTGAACGGTGACGTCATTGATCATCAATCAATGTATAAATACTTGGGTGTAACACTTACGAGTGACTGTTCATGGAATGCGCATGTGCATGTTGTAGTTGCAAAAGCTGCCAGAGCCATAAATTTCATTCAACGAAATCTGAGATTCTCCCCTGCTGTCCTAAATAGTGCTGCGTATATTTAATTTGTCCGCCCGATTTTGGAATATGCATGTTGTGTGTGGCATCCACGCCAAAAATCCTTGATTGATCTGATCGAGAAAATACAGAACAGAGCGGCGAGGTTCGTTCTCAGTCGGTATAAGCGAGGTGACAGCTGTACTGAAATGAAAAACGAGCTGGGATGGGAAGCGCTCTCCTCTCGCAGAAGAAAAATTCGCAGAAGAAAATTGCGTTTGAAATTGTTATTTCAGATATACCATAAGAAGACTGGCATCAATAAAGACACTTACCTTAAACCACCGCGTTATCTGTCTAGAAGGTCTGATCATGACCTTAAGATTTAAGAATACCAGACTGGAACGAACCTTTATGCTAATTCTTTTTTTTGTTCGTACTGTAAAAGAGTGGAATCAATTGTCTTGTGACCAAGTGTGCTGTCATAACGAAGACTTGTTTTTTTTTTCAAAGCTGTAACCTCCCCCCTCCCCCCCGCTTACACGCCTTTGGGCAAAGCAGAGTATTTCTGAATAAAGAATAAAGAATAAAGGGTACCTTTGAATCTTCGGGGTTCGTCATGACATCTGTCGACTGCTTGTACTTCACTTTGTTTATCTGGCAAATATGGCAGGTCAGGATATAATTACTGACGTCGTTTTTCATACCTGGCCATTTGAAGCTCACGGGCAATTTCTTGTATGTGCGCCAAAAGCCATCGTGTCCGCCCGATTCAGAGGTGTCGTGGTAGAGTTGAAGAATCTTTTGAACCAGGGTGGTGGGACATGATACTTTCCATCAATAAACTGTAGATCTTCTGTACCTTCCCATAGCTTAATATGATCGGTCATTTCTGGATTTTCGCTCCATGGTCTCATGAACAAGCAATCTATACAGTGCATCAGCATCGGTGAGAACTGGGCCAGGACGGTGAGAAATGGTGAAATCAAATTGCTGGAGATAGTGGACCCATCTCGCAATGCATCCTCTTAATTGTGCCGTGTTAAAAAGTTGCGTCAATGCCTGATGGTCCATGAATAGCTTAAACTTAGCTCTTCAAGGTAAGTTCTGAAATACTGAACTGCTTTCAAGTCTGCCACTGCTTCCTTTCCTGTAGTAGAAGAATTAATTTCAGCTGGCTTCAGAGTGTAGCTGTAATATCCCACCCATTAATGTTTCGTTGGATCGGCCTGTTTTGAGGATTTCTTGTACAAAACTGCACCGGTGGCGCAGTGTGATGTGTCCGTATTCAGTACAAAAGGCAAAGAAAAGACCGGCATTTGCACAATGGGTTCAGATTATATTAGCTTTACAAGCTCAGAATAAACAGCTTCGCACACCTCGTTCCATCGGGAAGGTACGTCTTTTTGTGTTAAGCATGTAAGGCATCCTGTCTTCAGTGCGTAGTCCTCGATAAAGGCTTGAAGTGTCCTGCCAGGCCAAGGAAAACACGAAGAGAGTGCACATCATAAGGTTTTGCCAGCTGAGAAATTCCTTCCACTGATTCCCGCTTTGTGCTTTTGGTCCGTCCGTCGAACACCCTTCCGAGAAATACAACTTTGTCTTCAAAGAAATGACTTTTCTTGAAATCGACTTTAGTTGCGAAAGGCTCAAAGTTTGAAGAACCTTTTAAAAAATGATCCCGGCGTTCCTTTTTTGTTTTTTAATATACGAATAAACCCAAATAAAGTTTCAGAATATCGGTCATAATTTTCTCAAATCATGGCGAAGAAGTTTTTCAACTAGTTGGTAAGTGGTTGTATTCAAATAAGTCAAAAGGGGTTATAAATGTGGTGTACGTTTTCGTTTCTTCAGTGAGTGGGATTCGCAAATGCCCCTTGCAAAGGTCTATTCTTGAAAAACAATGACAACCACCAGTCTCGTCAATGATATCGTTGATTCTCGGCGTTGGATATGGTATCGACTCTGGCGATTAAGTGCCCAGTAATCTGTACAAAGTCTGAATGCTCCATCTTCTTTTGGGGCAATAGTAAATGGACAAGGAAATTGAGAAACAGAAGGGCGGATAATACCGGCATCCAACATTTCTTGCAGCTCCTCTTTCAGCGACACCTTTTTATCTCTGGACAGATATAAGGAACTCTGCGGACAACGTTTTTGTCACTAAGTTCGAAAGGGACGACATGAGTTTTCATTGCCGGAGGGTAGCTGCCTATGCATGCAAGTTCTGGTTATTTCAATTTAATGTCATTTGGGCCGAAAATAATCCTTGTTTTGTCAGAGCCTGAGGGAAACGCCTGATAGAGTCTCGACCGACGTTGTCCTCGACCATTAGTTTGTCATACCAATTGATAATATTATGAAGCCTTTTCATGTCTGGGCGCGACAAAATATCCTAGCTGACGTCAGGAGTGGCCAATATGTTACTCGTAATTGTTTCACCTTGAAATTCAATGTTTAGGGTATCCTGTTCACTATGCGTGCTCACTGACCCATCATAGGCTTGCACGCGCAACGCTCTACCAGCGTGCAAGCGACCACCATCCACTCGACTCTTATTGATGATAGAGACAGAAGCCCCGCTGTCAACAAGGGCCTCCATTTCAGTGCGGTATACATTATTAGAGACGTAAAGTAAGGTGAATTACAGCAAGTAAACTGTTTCGGTGCAGGTTTCTGCTTGGGGCTTGTCATCGCACATGAATAGCTCACGTGGAAGCTCTGCATCATGTACCGTTGAAAATTGACCCTCTTCATCAGGCGTTTGTTCACCACTTGGCTGTTCTCGCGAAAGGATGACGTCACTAAGGTCTGCATGCATTGCAGAAGATCATCAAACGTTCTTGGATCACTGATTCGTATTTTTCGGTGGATGCTAACGGGAAATAAATACTTACGGCTTTATATCTCAAATGATCTCTGTTGGAACAAACACAGATCACGCACAACAAATGCAACTTACAAACTTTTTCTGCGTCGTGCTTTCAAGTTCTCCTCACCTTGTGTCCGTCTTTTAGCGTGCAAATCAATTGTCCTGCCAATATTAGATTACGCCTTTATAATAAGGGACCCTTTCCCGAACACTAACATTAAAAAGTTTGAAATAATGCAAGAATGAGCGGTGTGTTTTGTTTATAATAATTTTTCAAAAAACGTCTGTTACAAACCTTTTAAATAGAGGCCAACTTTCACCGTTATCATTAAGTTACCGCAATGCAAGACTGATATTTTTACATTAACTATATAAGGACCAACATTAAGTAAATATAGCCGACCGTTTTTATTTTCCTTCAGCTACTCTACTAGGCAAAGATACGACCTATCACCGCATTTTCCTCACGAAATAATTGTTTCAAGTAATCATTCTTTCCTCGCACCATAGTCGAGCGGAATAAATTAAATCACAATTTACTTTCAGCACCATCTTTCACATTGTTCTCAGCATGGTTGGACGGTATGCTTTCAAAATAAATAGCACCACATTCTTGCTTACGTGCTTGCACGCTTGCATTCTTGAAACCAATAATTGTATCTTTTTTGCATTTAGTTTTGTATCTGCGATACAAAATGTGCATGTAATTTTGTTTTGGTCCATGTACTTGCCATTGTTTTCATCAACACTAAGTTTGTGTACCACTCCGCTAAAACTGCCTATATGGTGATTGCAGTAACTGTAAATAAAATAAGTAAATAGGCGTATTTTACAGGTTGTCATTTTCTTTCACTCTACGAAATCGAACATAGGCTCCACTTCCACAGAATATGTTCCAATAAAAGAGTATTGTGCGGGTTAGTTGGTGTCATGACAAATTGGCTTGTTTTTTATTATACGTGCTCTGTATAGTTCGAATTATATTCGAATTGATTTGATCGAATCACTAATTGTTTCAAATTTGCTTCGAACCTGGAAGTCATATTGGACACACCAAATGAATGGTTATCGATTACTATATCTTCACTCTCTCATAGATGAATAGTATATTTTAGCTAGTTATATTCAAGAACGGTGTCCTGACAGATAGGCGTGCTATAACACGTTGAAAGCTTTGCGTCACCGAGCTGTCGCTGGGATCTGGTTGAAACAGGGTGTACGCGGAGAATTTTTCCACACTTCACTGTAACCCGAAAGGGTGAATAAATTATTGTAGAACTTCAAAAATAACTGTTTCTCCTATAGCTAGGCTAGCTTTTTACTTTATTCATGTTTTGAAAAGTGTCATAAAACAGTTCTACATCGACATCACTGCATGGGAAAAAAAGGCAACACAACAAAGGCGCTACTGCTCGCACTCTTTGGTGGTCACGCTAAATACCAAAAAACTGTCTAGCAGCTCGTAACTTACTGATAACAGTTCAGAAGTCGCATTTTCCCGATGATGTATGTATATTTATGCAAAACATACCGAGCGCCGGCCCTAACGACTTCTTCAGGTTACTACTAGCCAGCATTTTCTTCCGGTCGAGCTCTCTTGTGAGAGAGAGTGCCAAAAAACTTATTTCTTCTAGAATGAATAGGAAGTTTACAGTACACTTAGCGAATAATATAAGCCCTGAAAATGTACACCCACACGGCCTTGCAAATTGCATAAATAGGCAATGAACTTTTACATACCTACCTGGCTTACTATGATGGGACAGCGATCCGAGACAAGTTTTTTGCCCCTGGGACACTCGTACGAGTGCGCGCACCTGTCGTCGCACCATCCGCATTTTAGCGGGTCTTCACTTTTCTGCAAGCAGTCCGAGCAGTCCTCGTAGACGATGCATGAGCCTAATGGAAATCTTACAACCTGCACAAGAGAGCCATGCAAGAAGTTTACTCTTTCCTTTCAGACACAAATATGTTTCCCACAAATATATTTCGCATTACGTTTACCTTGTGCTGTTCATCTCTTGTGCACGACTTGGTGAAATTTTACAAAGTAGTAGTAAGTAAAACACCCGATAAATTTGTCACTTGCACCCGCAAGCATTAAAAAAATCAGGTGACCTGTTCTTACGACACGCGATGACGTTAACAAGACTACACGACGTGACACTAAGATATTATCCGTGGACGTCGTCGATCAGGAAACGGTGCGGGGATCTTGATGGCCATGCAGAAAACTCAATGCAGAAGTACGCCCTTTGTTCTTGTTTTGCCACGTCATTCAATCTAGAAGTTGTATTCGCGTGGAAGTGCGTCACAAGTATAGGTCGACCACTCACTGTCGTAACGCTCAGGGAGCCTTGATTTATTGACATGGGGGATTGAACGTACCAAAACCACAATTTTATTTTGAGAGACGCTGTACGTGGTGGAGGGCTCCGAAAATTTCGACCTCACAGGGCTCTTTAACGTGCAACGAAATCTGATCACACAGGCCTAAGCATTTCTGCCTCCACGAAAAATGCAGCCACCGCTGCTGAGATTCTATCTTGCGACCTGCGGGTCAGCAGCCGAGTACCTCAGCCACTAGACCACCGCGGCGGGCCGCCCTATGAGCATTTAGCTTACGAAGAATACTGACAATAGCAGAGGGGAAGTGCACCCGTCAGCTCCTCTGGTCTACCATCGTCACTTAATGAAATGATTTTGATTTTTTTATCAGTCACGTAGTCTACTTTCAAAGTAATACTGAACACAAGATTCCATACAGTGTTTGCTCAGAGCATTTGAAGTTCAAATTTTTTTTTGCTTCCATCACAGAAAAAAGGAGCAGGAGCGAAACGTGACAAAGGCCTGACAAAGGGCTCCCGCTCCTGTTGGCACTCCGCATCAGCGGTAGAAATGGCAATACAAAATTAATCACACAAATTCATATCAAATTAAATGTCACATGAGCAGTATGCAGATCACATGATGAGTAGATGAAAAAAAATGTAACATATCATTTAAGTCCCATATTTCGAATAAGTAGCTCAGATAGAATAATGAAGAATGCATAGAATTTCATTCTATGCATTCAGCATTCAGGTTTGATGAGAGCGCGCAATAGACATAAGGAACCACTCAGCATTCTCGTCGGGGTGAATGAAGTGTCAGAAAGCATGAATGAAAAGTGAAGCGCGCGCCGTTGTAACTCTCTCTCATGGAAGTCACCTCAACAACGACATGGGGGGGGGGTAGATGGGAGGGAATGAAACAGGTGTGCAGGAGAGAAGGTTGGCATTTAAAACTGCCTCGAGCTATGGTTCGATGAGTACACAACTTGGTACTGACCATAGGCTAAAGGTATGCAATACACCATTAGTATGCAGGATGGTATAACCAAGTGAGCTCTTCTTTTACTTCCTTGACTTTGAGGTTAATACTTTTCAAAACATGCGCCTGCTCTTCTTTTTCAGGTGACATGTTCCTCATGTCCAACGGTAAATGTCAAGTTCCTGCGCATTTTTGTTGTAGGTGTCCGCATTCACTTTCCATCACATCATACGGCCTGCAGTTCTTGGGAAGCTATGCACAAGGAGCATGCATCCAACCCAAGAGCTTCTAGCTATTACCAGCTAACGTAAGAGCCGCCACAAATAGCAAAATGCAACGGCTATACTGTAGTATACATGTTACTCCACGAGTTCTTTTTTTTTTTTGCAGTTATCACAGAATATGAACACTTCAAGAAAAACCACGACTTGCAAATCTGGACACATAGAAACGTAATTATTTATTGTGTGAAGAAGAAGATATGCCTGCAGTGAGCAGCATCGCCAACGCCAGGCTCTCTCGGCTCGTGCTTCGGTTCACTGCTGTGCCGGTCTCTGCTGGACGGTTCACCACTCTGTCTTGCCGTTGTCGTTAACGACTAATAAACCTCTTCACATTTGATGGAGGGTGCTGTTTATCCCCGTCGCTACACCCTGGAGCTGCGAAGCCGCAGCTTGTGGACACCGGCGCCCCTGTTTTTGTTATTGCCGCTAATCTTTGCCGTTTATTACGCAAAGTGACGACGCCGCTTTCGGGACTGTCGCTTCACACCGCAAGCGCACAGCAAATAACGCCTCTCGCAGCCTGCACTGAAAGAGTGTCCATCGAAGGCATTCTTTACATCGTGGAGTTTATTGTTCTCGCTGTCTGTTCGCATGACGTCATCCTCGGGTGGGACTTCCTATCCCGCCATAATGCCGTCATAGACTGCGCTCGCGCCGAAGCTGAGTTTTCACCCTTGTGTGATGTCCCATTAATGGACGCTCCTCATCAGCCACCAAAGTTGCTCGTTCATGAAGATACCGATATTCCGCCTGGAAATTTCGCACTTGTTCCCGTTTCATGCAACGCCTACACTGACGCTACAGTCCTTTTTATGCCTTCCCATATCTTCAAATGTCGTCGAGCTTTGCCGCTGCCTTTCGCAACAATTGACCTTGCCGCCGGAAGAAGCAACATGTTCGTAAGCAATCCGCTTTCCACACCTGTCACTTTGCTTGCGGGGGAATGTCTCGGCCGCGTGCAGGATCTCGACCCTTCGTTTTTGGTTGATGTCCCGGATGACTACTGCGACCACCCAAAAGCACTGTCGGCACTCGGGGAGTCGTCCAATGATACGTTTTCCAGCGCCATCGCCGACACTCTCACTCCCACCGAACATGCCGACCTGCTGGATCTTCTGCATGAGTTCAGGAGTTCGTTCGATGTGTCGCAACCTCAACTGGGCCGCACGTAACAAGTCAAACATCATGTTGACACCGGCCTACACCAGCCACTGCGTCAAAGACCATACCGTGTCTCCGCTCAAAAGTGCCGCGTGATGAACGATCAAGTCAAAAATAAGCTTCGTAGAAACGTCATTCGACCATTTCACAGTTCCTGGGCGTCTCTCGTCGTCCTGGTGCGTAAGAAAGACGAATCTATCCGATTTTGCGTGGACTATCGTCGTTTCAATAGGATAACCCGCAAGGACGTCTATCCTTTGCCACACATTGATGACGCCATTGACACCCTTCACGGAGCGGAATTCTTCTTGTAACTAGATTTGCGGTCTGGCTACTGGCATGTCCCAATGGCTGAAGCCGATCGCCAAAAAACGGCATTTATTACACCAGACGGACTATACGATTTACTTCATGCCATTTGTGCGTTGTAACGCGCCTGCCACATTTGAACGTCTTATGGATAATACGCCACGTGGCCTCAAATAGAATATGTGCCTCTGTTACCTCGGACGATGTCGTGGTTTTCTCTCATGACTTTCCTACGCACCTCCTTCGCCTCAGGCACGTTTTGACTTGTCTGACCAACGCTGGTCTGCAGCTTAACCTGAAAAAATGCCGCTTCGCTGCACGCGAGCTTGTCATTCTAGGCCACATTGTGTCCAAGCACGGCGTATTACCTGACCCAGCAAAACTTCGAGCAGTCGCAGAATTTTCCAAGCCGACGACCATGAAAGAACTTCGCAGTTTTGTAGGCCTATGCTCCTATTCCCGGCGCTTTGTTCGAAATTTTGCGTCTATCATGTCACCGTTAACCCAGCTTCCTCGCGGTGACGTGAACCTCTCCTCCTGGTCCCCTGCATGTGACGTTGCCTTCACTAGAGACAGAGAGAGAGAATAAACATTTATTAATAACAAATGCACACTGAGCCTTCTTTGGGTGGGGCCCTCAGTCCAGGGCTCCATTGCCTTGCGCGACCCTGCGAGCCCGCTGGACCAGCTGCTGCTGTTCCTGCCGGCGTAAGCTGAGCAGTGACAGACTCCCAAGAGGAAGGGGTGGGATTGGGAATGGGAGGCACGCCCTGTGGGGCAGAGCATTCCCACGTGGAGTGGTACACCGTCGGTACGGATCCACAGAAGGGGCAGTAGGAGGGGTAGAGAGTCGGATGAAAGCGATTTAGCATATAAAGGCAAGGAAATGAATTGGTCTGTAGTTGCCGCCAAGCGACAGCATCTGCTCTGTTAAGTGAAGGATGAGGGGGAGGATACGTATAACGGCTCTGTCGATAGTACTGCAGCGTAGCGTTGTAGTTTAGTGGTTCTGTCGATGCGTCGTCTGGATTGGACAGCTCTTCCAATGGAGCCCGGCCGGTCAGCTCTCGGGCAACCGCATGAACGCGTTCATTACCATGGAGAGAGGCGTGTCCAGGAGTCCAGACGATACGCACAGGACGTAATGCGGACGGTGAGACAGAAGAGAGGATATTGTGTGTATGTGCAGCCACAAGTCCTTGAGCGAAAGCACGGCAAGCAGCTTGTGAATCTGTTACAATAGTGACAGGGGAGTCATGTGACAGTGTCGTAGCGTAAACAATTGCCAGAGCGACAGCTCCCTCCTCTGCCAGACCACTGTCTGTAGTGCGAAGTGTGGCAGATGCCACAAGGGCGTCTGTGTCATCTGTCACGGCTAAACACACGGCTGACTTCTCTGGGTAGCGTGCTGCATCAGTGTAAAGTACTTGTAAGTCTGATGTACCATCACCAAAGACGCGTGTCATAGCCTGAACTCGGGCAGGTCGACGACCGGCGTGGCGGGAGGGATTCATATTGCGTGGAATCGGAGGCACTTTGATGAGTGCGCGGACAGTAGAAGCAAGTTTATATCGCGGTACTTGTGCGGGTTTTTGAGGAATCGGGTAGCCAAGACGAGACAGGATGGCGCAGCCCTGACGGATCTGCCTGAGCCGTTGGAGCTGACTGTTGTGCTGGGCCTCGATGAGTTCGGTTATGGTGTTGTGGACTCCTAATTGAAGGAGGCGTTGTGTAGATGCGTGTGGAGGCAAGCCGATAGCCGCCTTCACAGCTGTCCGTAGAAGGATGTCCATCTTTTTTATTTGAGCTAGAGTGAGATTGTGAATGGGAAGATGATAGGTGAACCGACTAA